TATTACGGGATCACATATGTAAAGAAATGGCTCCGCTTGTAGAGGCACGAATGTCTCATATTCCAACTGCAACTGGTTCTGATTGGCGTGATTTACCAAATATCGCAGTACGATTAAGCGATGGTACCTTCTCCAAGAAGTTGTATGTATAAAGTCTATCATATATATCTCTTTCTTTTTTATTAAATTATTCTTGTAAATTTCTTTAATTATACACTGTAATTAATTTATTAAATCTCAATCAAATAATTATATAATTATATAATATATATTATATAATATACAATTATATATATTATATATATATAATATACAAGGTGTAAGTGAATATCTGTTACAAACTTCTAGGGTATGTAGAGGGTTCAAAGTAGATCAATTTTTAATAAGAAACACATGTCCGGAAACGTTTGCGAACTGCAGACTGGAACTGAAAGTGTATCAGAACATGCTTTGCAGGTGCAATGCTTGCATCGAAGTTGATGGTCGTCATTATGAGCAATCATTATGAGCAATTATAGTAACCATCTGTTTTGACATTGCTAAACATTTGTAGTGTAATGTAAACAAATAAAGTTATGAGAATTATTCCTAATACTGAACCAACAATTCCAGTCTGTAACTCGCAAATGGTATGTTTCTGGACATGAATTCCTTATTAAAAGTTAGTCTATTTTAAACCCTCTATATACCCCAGAAGTTTGTAACAGGTATTCATTTACACCCTGTATAATATATGTTATAATACATAATATATATTAAATAAAAATTAATATAATATGTAATATATCATGTCTAAATTAATATTTTAATATTTTTATAGGGAATACATGCATCATGATAAGAGAGCTGGGAAAAGTTCAACAGGTGCATTGCGTGGAGTATGCAGTTGCAATACTGGTCGATTATGTGATCCTACTGATAAACAATTTAATACTTTAATTCCATGGTGTTTGCCGCATACCGGAAACCGACATAACCATTGGTCAGGTTTATATGGGAGACTCGAATGGGATGGATTTTTCAGTACAACTGTTACCAATCCAGAACCGATGGGTAAACAGGTATGCCGAAAATAATATGAATCCGAAAAAATGATATGTAACTTTATCAATTATAATTTTAAGAAATTTATAACACTATCGATAAAAAATATATGATTAATAGCAAGATTTTAGCGTGATCTATTTTAAATTAATCTAGAATAATTACTACACGATCTTCAATTAAAATGTACATGAATTGAGAACTACATTTTGTACAGTTTCTGTATTATAATTTTAATTCAATCAGATGGATTCATTACAATTAATTTCCAGGGCCGCGTTTTACATCCAGTGCAAAACCGAGTTGTAAGCGTTAGAGAATGCGCAAGATCTCAAGGATTTCCAGATTCATTTCGTTTCTATGGTACGATACTCGATAAACATCGACAGGTTGGTAACGCAGTACCGCCGCCATTGGGAGCTGCTATTGGACAAGAGATACGAAAGTGCATACGTGACACAACGATATCGTCAAATACGAAATTCGAATTTACAAAAAGTTGTGCTAATACGTTTATGACAAGGAGCAACAGGAGTCTTGACAAAAATGACAAAGTTGTCACAAATGCCATATCTGACAGCCACACACCAACTACTAACAATGGCGCGAGCACTAGTTCTAATAGAGGCAAAAATGCGACTAGTCGACATAGACGATATTCGTCATAGATGAAGAAAAAATTCTCGTCGGCTGATGTGCTTGGATATTATGGTTCCACTTGTACCTCTTAAAATATAGTGCTCAGTATTAAGTAACTCGGATTATATACTCTGATATCTGATCTAATATGTATTGATAAGGATAAAATCTTGTTCCATACTCTGTAGATTCCCCTCTATCTTAAAATCTTTCAAGACTGAGCTATTGCTCTATTTTAGGATCTTTTATTCAAATAATTTGTGTGCAAGATAAAAATGTTATCGATTTTTCATTCGCTTTCCTATTCTAGACATATTAAAAACACTCATGTGACATATGTAATAAACAAGCAATGCAAGAAAAGAATTCTAATTTATAGAAAGAAATTCATATGTACAATACGCGCGCACACACAGCTGTTTCAGAATAAAGGGGATCTATAGTAGTTAGATTTATTTTTAATTGCAGATTTTATATGTAAAAATGTTGAAATAGATTTACAAATGGGATATGTTGTAACTGGATAAACATTATTCTCATTAAAAATCATATGAATTCAATATTGTGTACAAATCCCACATAGAGATTTTTTTACTTACATTCGTAATATAATTTGTATTATTAATATTTACATATTAATTTTTATGAACCATTTCTGAACATATTTCTAGCTTTTTTAAATATGCAGTTATACAGAGTGTCCCAAAAGTCCCGGACCGGTCGAATATTTCATAAACTATGCACTTTAGAAAGAAATGTTTCAGACAAAAGTTGTATGGCTTGAAGGGAGCCATCAGATAGTGGCAATGATTTGACCTTGGAGAGTCATTTGAAGGTGATATAAAGGTCACCTTCAATTTCTTAAATGGATATTTTTTATTATATACTCGTGTTGCTTATCTCGAAAGCTTTCCAAAACACTAAAGTATTTCTTCATTGAGTACTTTTCGAGTTATGAGACTTGAAATCATTTCTTAATTTTGTATAAACCATAAAATATCTAGTAAAATATTCATTTTTCGATTATCTTACCTTAAACTTAATACTTTTATGTACAAAATAATGAGAGGAATCAATTGGTGTAAAGACAACACATAGTTGTTTCTAAGAAAAAATATGTAATTTGCAATTAACAATTCCATATTTTTTCTTAAAAACAACTGTATGTTTTCTTTACACCAATTGATTCCTTTCATTATTTTATATATAAAAGTATGAAGGTAAGATAATCGAAAAATGAATGGTTTACTAGATATTTTATGGTTTAAAATTAAGAAATGATTTCAAGCTTCATAACTCGGAAAGTACTCAATGAAGAAATACTTTAGTGTTTTGGAAAGCTCTCGAGATAAGCAACACAAGTATATAATAAAAAATATCCATTTAAGAAATTGAAGGTGACCTTTATATCACCTTTATATCACCTTCAAATGACTCTCCAAGGTCAAATCATTGCCACTATCTGATGGCCCCCTTCAAGCTATACAACTTTTGTCTGAAACATTTCTTTCTAAAGTGCATAGTTTATGAAATATTCGACCGGTCCGGGACTTTTGGGACATTCTGTATACATGTACACACACATACAGAATGTATCTACTATTATTATCATTTTAACTATAATCCAATATGTAGCTATAAATCTTTCTTCTAATTCATATTTTTTATTGCTGTAGTTTAATAAGTTATTGTGATTTTAATATACAATTAATTAGTTTAGATAAAATAAAGTAGAGACAGTATTTATTGAAATGTAAATGTTAAGGCAAAACTTAAACTGAAGTATAATGTTACATATATTTATATCACTTAATTTTGCATTTTAATATTAAGTAATTCGGATTTAACTTAATTTTTCGCTAAAGGTAAATCTATTAAGATTTATTTGTTCAAGAAGACTTTCATGATTCTGGAATATCTTTTGTAAATAATAACTTTCGAAAACTTTGCTTTTATTTGTTTATGTGCACTTATGTGCACCCATCTTTATTTATATGTTTACAATTCATTAAATGATAAGCGGATGTATAAAAGAGAAACAGAATTAAAATAATATTATATAACTGCAACTTAGGCCGGTATTCATAGTCCGATCTCGTATTTAAGATTGTCTTAAGTCTGGTCCGAGGTTGACTTAAGACTTCATTCAACCAATCAAATAGCTGCGTAGAATTTCAAGCTCGAACTTAAGACGATCTTCTCTAATATAAAATCGGACTATGAATACCGGCCTTAATCAATTTTTATATTTTTTCTTCTTTCTACTTATATATCTTGTTAAAATAAACATCGCAATGAATAGAATTCAAATCTGTTTCTCTAATATAATTTGTTTCTCTGCTTGATCGCGATATATTTTTATCTATGCAATAAATTTACATAGTTATTCGTTTACAAAGCCAGTGAATATTTGATTAACAAATAAATAAACTATTTTAAGAACTTTGTTAGATTTTTTGTTTTATTTTTTCCTCTTCCTTTTATGAATATTTGCATTAGAAGTGTGTACATTACAAAAAAAACTAATTAAAATTTAAAAATTCCATTAGAGAAGCTGACAAACCTCACAGTGATGTAAAATTCGTAAATCTGATTAGTGTAAAGAACATACATTAATCAGATTCACGAATTTTACAACAGTTACAAAGCAGTTTATTCTGCAGCCATTAATGCATTGATTGTCATTTAAATATTTAATAGATTGAAACAGGCAAAGATAATTGATAATCCTTTTTAAAAGTTTTAGAACATTATAAAAAATCTGAACATGAAAATAGTTTGAAATGAATCAATATCAACTCATATTCTATTATATATTTACTTTTATAATTTGTAAGTTTATAATTATATATTTGATTAAACCCTTATAAAGGATTATCTTTAAAGATGTTTTGGCTTTTTATAAAATATAGAGTTATTTTTTGAAGGAACAAATCTGTTATTCTCTATTTGGATTACTCGGTAGTGTTTAAGTTTTGTTAATAAATTCATCAAGATTTGTGAAATAGTTCATGAAAAATATATGACTTTCTAACAAAGTGGCCTTGTAAATGTTTAATATTACTTATATTCTTTTTTTTTGTTCCAATTTGACAAAAAAATAGTGTTACTTTGCAATATATTACACTATATTTTAAATGTTTTCTTTTAATATAGATTATATATATGAACATATAAGTTATTACAATATATATTCATATATATTTTGCAACTAAAAGGGTATAAAAAATAGTATTAAAATATATTGAAATAAAAAAAAATATTTTATAAGAAAATGTACAAAATTACAAAATAGTTTATTTTTTTTACATATTCTTTTACAAATTTAGTACTGTGATTTTCACTAAACCTTTTATCTGGTGGATTTTAATTTTTACTTCTTTATTTTTTAAAATAATGTTTCTTAATTCATCTTCAAAAACGATTGCAGTATGATTCATAAAAGAATCATTCTTTTTTGTATCATGTATATGTTGTGGACTAAGCTGAATCTTATACCAGCATATTAAGGCATTTGGTAAAGTTTTTTTTTTTGTGCAATTTATTTGTCCGAAATTTATGATTGCCTCAGTAGTCTCCGTTTCATTCATTTCTATTAGTGTTTGTGCCTCAGATATTATCTTATATGAATACAAACTCGAATTCAAATCAAATATTTGATTGATCTGCAATAGAATAATAAAAATTAAGTAATAGTTTTAATCTTAAATAAAATCCCTCAAGTGACTTGCCTTATATTTATTAATGTGTTCTGCAATTATATAGTTTGTACTTTTATTTATTTTATTGGTTGTATTATTTCGCATAGCTGGATTGTCTTCACTATCTGAACTCTGAAAAGAAAATATGTTTATTTTATTGTAACTTTACAAATAAATTTTGTAATTTTGTTTTTGATAATGTCTTGCTAATATTTTCTTTTATGGAATGCATACACATACACACACACATGTACATACATAGACATAATTTAAAATTATATTAAAATATTTTGTATCTCATACTGTATCAATATAAATAGAAGTATTGGATGATGTTTGGAGATTTACATCTTGCACATAAACCATGTTTGGTAAATCTTCTGAATACACTAATTGTCCTATAAGAAAAATTTTTTCTGGCAATAACATACCATTTGGTTTAAGGAAATACCTGAAACAAAAAATAAACGACATATAAGAATTTTTAATACGTATAATTAAATAAAACATGTAAAAGAAAATGTAAAAAAAATGTATAAAAATGTTATATAATATAGGTATAATACTTGAAAATTCCATAATTATCCTGATCTTTCAATTCGCCTTTAATGTCAAAATTATGAACAAGTATGGTATCTAAAGAGCATGGAATTTCATCATAATTTGATATTATATGCACTTTTCCTTGAAGCCCACTATCTCGGGCTACTTGTTCAATCAGAAAACGAAGAGTTTCGTTGTCAGTTTTGTAGTATAAAATTTCACTATCTTTACATTCTTTTAATAGCGTTAACCCGTAGATTGGAAAAGGCGAAGTATCCAAAATATATTTAATTTTTTTATTTTCTTGATATTTAGCGATTTCTGTGAGCAATTTGACATAATTAAAGTCATTTAGGAAGACAATGACTTCTTTTGGCAAACGATATAAAAATTTACACTCTTCGCTGGATTGCACATTGCCTGTGCTATAAGAACATTTAAGTTTACTCTTCGATGTTTCCGCTTTTATCGTCAAGATATCGCCTTCGTGGCATACAATAGGTACTGCCGGAAAAACAGCCAATTGCCAACAAGATTTTCCATCTGAAGAATCCAGTGTAATTTCTTCATCCAGATGTAATTTAAACCAAGCAATTAGACCATCTATGATGCCATCATATCTACATTTCGTTTGTAACATTTGTTTTATTCCATCTTTATAAAATTCTTGCAATTGCAATAAATTGTTAAAATTTACATTAAAGAGAACTTGCGGCTCTGTGACATAATTAATTTGAACTTTTTCCAGATTTTCTGTATCATAATATTCGTCATCCGATAATACAGACACTTTATTAAAATTTAAAGTACTATTATCTTTTATTCTATCAAAAATCACCGATGATCTGTATCTAATGTATTCACATTCAATAGCTGTTGTAAAAACCGTCGCACCCATAGGTATTACCATGCCATTCATATCTAAAATGTTCATGTGTACATTAATCATAGATGGTACTACAAGTTCTCCAAATAAGCCAGCATCAAATGTTTCAGTCACTATTAATTTTACTCTAGAATTATATATTTTTAATATTAATCAATGCATTTAATACAATAATTAAATCAACATAAAATATCAAAGTCATATATAGGGTTCTCCAAAAGTCTGGATACACCTAAATATCTCACAAACGGTGGATTTTAGAAAAAAATGTTTCAGGCAAAAGTTGTTTGGTTTCGAGGAGGCCATAAAATGATACCATTGGTTTGACCTTGAAGAGTCATTTGAAGGTCACGCGAAGGTCACTTCAATTTTTTTAAATGGAACACCCTATATATTTTTATATATTCTTGTAGCTCATCTTGAGAGCTTTCCAAAACATTATAATAAAGTATTTCTTCATTGACTACTTTTCGAGTTATGAGGCTTGAAATAATTTCTTAATTTTACATAAACCATAAAAAAATGAGTAAAATATGAGTAAAATATCCGTTTTTCGATTATCTTACCTTAATACTTTTATGTACAAAATAATGAGAGGAATCAATTGGTGTAAAGAAAACATACAGTTGTTTTTAAGAAAAAATATGGAATTGTTAGTTGCAAATTCCATATTTTTTCTTAAAAACAACTGTGTTTTCTTTACACCAATTGATTCCTCTCATTATTTTCTACATAAAAATATTAAGGTAAGATAATTGAAAAATGAATATTTTATTAGATATTTTATGGTTTATGCAAAATTAAGAAATTATTTCAAGCCTCATAATTCGAAAAGTATTCAATGAAGAAATACTTTATTATGTTTTGGAAAGATCTCGAGATGAGCTACAAGAATATATAAAAATATATAGGGTGTTCCATTTTAAAAAATTGAAGTGACCTTCAAATGACTCTTCGAGATCAAACCAATGGTACCATCTTATGGCCCGCTCGAAACCAAACAACTTTTGCCTGAAACATTTTTTTTCTAAAATGCACCGTTTGTGAGATATTTAGGTGTATTCAGACTTTTGGCGCACCCTGTATAATAATTATTATTGGATATACAAACCTTTCTGAAATGTCCATAGGTATTTTAAGATCGAATGATAGTTTTGGTATTAACTTTATATCAGTTGCATTGTTAGATTCAAATACTTCTTTTGCAATTAGTGTCATTATTTCAGAACATTCGCATGCATACACCTTTGTGGCTCCTGCGGCTTTTGCGTATAGACTCAAAAGACCTGTACCAGTTCCTACATCCAATACTGTATCATATCCTTGGTTGATTCTCTTGCGTATAGCTCTCTCAAAAGCATTATTTCTCCACTTATCGTTAAGCATTGTAAAGTGCCATCTATCTACTGCCATGCTATATGCATTTTGCAGATTTCGTTCTGCTGGTAGAAAGTTAGGATCAACTTTCAAAGCTCTTCTTAAATATTCTATCGCCCTTATAGGATTGTTATTCCTTTAGTAATATATATAAACAATATATTTTTTTACTTTTTAAAGATTAAAAAAATAATTTTAATAATTTATTATGAAAATAATGAGAACAAGACTAGCATTAATACATAATAAAATTGAAATTGAAATTGAAATGATTACCGTAATAAATGTGCTGCAAAATTATTGAGCATACGAGAATTATTTGGATAAATATCCAAGGAATGTTTATAACAGCGTACAATGTCTGAAAATCTATTATCTTCTGCTAATTGTATTCCCCATTCACCTAAAAATTAATTATATATATTTTTTTCATTATTACTATTATAACTCTATATAAGAAAGATATTAAACACTTTATATATACTGCATCTCACATAGTACATCTGTGAATGTTTCTTCGATTTCTGATCTTCTTGAAGGACATAGCTCTGTAACAATAGTATAATACGCATAAGCTCTTCCAACATTTCCAGTCCTATCGTGTTCCTTAGCTTTTTGCAACGACTTTTCCAGTATGTCATTCACTTCTGCTTGCATTTTGCATCAAGTTCCTTATTTCGCTTACAATGTATCTCTTAACAGAGTCACCTTGTTTTTATAAAACTTAAAACTGATCGTTATTACGTCAAAAATATATGCTTATTATCACTATGTAATAATTTAATTACGTGCTATTGATATACCAGATACCAAATGTAAAATTAACCTAAAACTTATTTATTTCGATTTGTATCACAAATGTTGTGTGTGTATGTGTGTATTGACACATTTTTTTAAGATAAAAGATATTAGGCACAAATGGTTGTATTTGACGTTATTTCACACACACGCGAAAGTATATATTGAGCAATGTCAATGAATTCTAGATTCATCAGATTCGATGTACTGCGCAAATATCATCGTTTTTCAAATTAATTCCACGATATACGATCTAATTCAATCGTCTCTTACAATAATGTATTACACTCTGATATGTTCAATTAAGACATACCCGCTAGATAATAGATATGTCACGTTCAATAAAAGTATACACATATATACATGCATCATATGCACATATACATACACACACACACACACACACACACACGTGTGTGTATTTTTATATATACGAACATAAATTTCTCTTGTTCTTTTCTTGTCAATTATGAAGAAAGCAATATCATCAACGTTACAATATTCGCATGTATAAAAAAATTTAATTTTTAATTTCATAATCTGAATCTTTAATATATAGGGTGTCCCAAAACTCATAATTAATCTTTCAAAGATAGATTCCTGGGATCATCTGAAGACGATTTTTCCTCAACGAAAATGTCGAGGCACTAATAATTTTCGAATTATAAGTGATTGAACATAAGGAGTTTTTCGTAAACTAAGCTTTGCAGAAATAAAATATTAACAAAACCATATTCTTCGATTAATTTTAAATAGAGTTTACTTTAGTTGAGTTTTAATTTAAGGCTTAATTGCAAAGATATATGATGACAAAAATTGGGAACATGCAAAAAATGATGGCCTTCATCGACATTTTCACTGCGGAAAAATCGTCTCCAAATGATCCCAGGAATCTGTCTTTGAAAGATTGATTATGTGTTTTGAGACACCCTGTATATTCGAGAGTACATAAGCTCAATCTGTAATATTTCCTCTATACATTTTAATCATCTAGAGAGAGATCGCTTTCCTTTATTAATCATACACATAATATATCAATTATACATTTATCAATTTAATTTTAAACATGAGCTGACCTTTCTGATGGGCGGAAAAGACATCGTTAATCTCTCAGAACGATATTGTAAAATTGGAGGTTAAGCTATTAATTAACATAAAATATATTTGATATATAAAATGCTATCGTTTAATCTATTTATCGAACATAAAACTTTCCAAATAGTCAATTTGTCTGTGAGATTGCTGTCATATATATTACTGAGAATTGTTAACAATAATACAACTATTGGCTACATGGCAGCAACCCAGACAGCACAAAAAGGCCAAAAGATGTTTTAAAGACATCTAGGAGACTTTAAGACGTCTTTAAGTCGTCTTTTAGATGTCTTTTGGACATGTGTGTTGTCTGGGAATATGATTAATCATATTTGATTATCTGGGGTGCATTACAATGATTATTAATCGAAAACATTTTGAAAGAGAAATCGAACTGCTTGTAACCCAAAGTATATAAACGTATATGTATATACAAAACAAACAAAAGAGGCTGAACATAAAGCTCTACAAAGCAATTTTTCTAATTTTCTTTTATATCCGAATATTATATTTCCAATAATCCAATTAAAATCATTTCTGATGTGTTCAGAGATGTTTTAGAAAAATCTACTAAATAAATCGATATTTAACGATAATATATACATAATATAGCAATTTATAACATTTCTCTTCTATATCCTTACATGATTACAAATTATATTTAATCTAAATTAAGAATCGTGACAATACATCAATTAAAATAATTTATGACATATTTTCTACGTGTGTTATATATTTTAATAATTTATTAATTTTTATATATTTTATGTTGTGTTCTATACTCTTGCAGTAAAATTCAAGCAAGCTTGAGTCATCATGCTGCACGCAAGCAACGTAACTGTTTATCGACAGAATAGGCTATATATACTTGCAGTATGAATTCGAGCAAAGAGATTAATCAGATCGCGAAAATGCTCGTTCAATGCTCTCTAAGCATATAAGGAATGGAACAAAGAATTTATTCAGATATAATAAAAGACTAATTTGCTAATTAATATAATTTAATCATCTCCTTAATTAGACTCATGGGCGTTTCCGCGACCAGTCTCCATTCTACCAAAAAAAGAAACGTTTGAGAAAACGACTCGGTCATGCCTCGAGAAAGATGCGGCCCAAATATGGTGCAATTGACACGAATGTCGCATACATTCGCTCCTCTCTCTCTCTTTGCCTAGCAACATCACATATACATATCTGTATAATGTAAAGCGGAATTTCGCTGAGAAATTTTGTAGAAATACACATCTGGCCGAATAGGCGCACAGGAACATTTATTTCTGTGCATTTCGACGATCATATAAATGAGTTTGGGACTTGAAACGATCGTATTATCGGATAAAATACTGAAATCGTTGATACGATTCGGCGCTACATCGTTGACGCGTAGTAACGGCTATCGGGGATGATGAGTGATGCGGTCAACAGCCAATTGCAGCGCGACGCGAGGTCACCGCGGACCAATCAGCGCACTCTGGAACGGTCGATTCCAGGGGGGTATAAATAGAGCGTAGGAAGCGTCGCACGTCCAATATCCAATAGTTGCTCGGACGTCGACGTTCTATAGTTGTTAGCAGAAGCTCCATTACTTGCTTTCGCCAACTATCGATTTCCTGCGGCGGCTACTTGGCTCTTTTTTTCTGAAGGAAGACGAAAAAGAAATTGTAATACAAGATGGTAAGTCGTGTCGATAATTATCACTCTTTCGCTCATCGTAGAATCATAAATCAAGTGACGCCGCCCATCCTTCATGTCGGCCATTTTGTTAACGGTTAAACGCCGGCCGGTTACACTTTCTCTAAAATTAGATCGCGTCGTCTTTTTGCTTAAAAACGATTCTTATTATACTAAAAGACATAATTAAATTCGACCACACTGGCAATTTTATTGATGGTAAAGAATCACAACGCTTCGATAGGTTTTGGTCCTTTTCGAGTGAAAGTAATTTAGTTAATTATTATATCTATTATAAATATTAGTTAATTTATTATTATAAATATTATATTATTATAAATATTAGTAAATTTTAGTTAACTATTATATTTATTATAAATAGTATATGCAAATAGTTTCAAGCTTATAGCACAGATATTTATATAATAACATATAGTAAGATGTATAAAGATCAATTAATTAGTATAATAAGTAACATTAAATTCTTAAAAGTCGCCAGTAGATAAAATAAAAGACGTAATTAAATTCGACTACACTGGCAATTTTTTTGATGATAAAGAATCACAACGTTTCGACTATAGGTTTTTTGGTCCTTTTCGAGTGAAAGTAATTTAGTTAACTATTATATCGTGAGAAATAAGGAAATCACTTTGTCAAGATTATCATGATGGAGAGGCTGACATGATAATCTTGATGAAGTGATTTCCTTATTTCTCACGATATAATAGTTAACTAAATTACTTTCACTCGAAAAGGACCAAAACCTATCGAAACATTGTGATTCTTTATCAATAAAATCAATAAAATTACCAGTGTGATCGAATTTAATTACGTCTTTTATTTTATCTATTAGCGACTTTCAAGAATTTAATGTTACTTATTATACTAATTAATTGATCTTTATATGTCTTACTATATGTTATTATATAAATATCTGTGCTATAAGCTTGAAACTATTCGCATATTTTAATGTACGAGCATTACGAGGACATTGACCTCGATGAGCCTTTTGGAAAGTTTATTGTATTGATTTATTTCAGGCTGTGTTCTTCACGTAAATGCTAAAGACAAATATAGTTTTATTATGATTCTTTTATCTATCCAAGTTGAAGAACTTAAGATATATTAATGTATATACTAATGTATATGTGATTTACTTCAGCGTGAATGTATCTCAATCCATGTTGGCCAAGCTGGTGTACAAATTGGCAATGCTTGCTGGGAGTTGTATTGCCTGGAACATGGCATTCAACCGGACGGCCAAATGCCCTCTGACAAGACTATCGGAGGTGGAGACGATAGTTTTAATACCTTCTTCAGTGAGACTGGTGCTGGCAAACATGTACCCAGAGCTGTTTTCATCGATCTGGAACCTACTGTAGTTGGTATGTATTTCATCTATGTAATTTTTCGAGGGGTAAACTGCTGAGGGCATTGCAGTGTACAGATTTGAGGCATTGCTAGACTTATTGGGCATTGTTTGGGAATTACTAGCATTTCTTGGACATCAGTGGACATTATTTGAGCATTACTAGGCATTAATAAAAAAAATTAGCAATAATGTAATTACTAGACATTAATAAAAATTTAGCAAGAATTGGGCATTAATAGGCATTAGTGTACATAATTTTGATCAGCGGTTTACCCCTCGTAATTTTTCAACATTATCTTATATTTGATAAATTGCAAAAAATTGCAAAAAATTTCACTTTTAATTTTTCAATCTTTGTGTACAGATGAGGTTCGCACTGGAACTTATCGTCAATTGTTTCATCCGGAACAATTAATCACTGGCAAGGAGGATGCTGCAAACAACTATGCTCGCGGTCATTATACAATCGGAAAGGAGATAGTCGACCTTGTGCTCGACCGTATTCGCAAGCTTGCAGATCAGTGTACTGGTTTGCAAGGTTTTCTCATTTTTCACTCATTCGGCGGTGGTACCGGCTCTGGTTTCACGTCCTTGTTGATGGAACGTCTGTCCGTCGATTATGGAAAGAAGTCGAAGCTCGAGTTTGCTATTTACCCAGCACCACAAGTCTCTACAGCTGTAGTCGAGCCGTACAATTCTATCCTGACAACGCACACTACCCTTGAACATTCCGATTGCGCATTTATGGTCGACAACGAGGCAATCTACGACATTTGTCGTCGCAACTTGGATATTGAAAGGCCGACCTATACGAATCTTAATCGCTTGATCGGCCAGATCGTATCCTCCATCACGGCGTCTCTACGATTTGACGGTGCCTTGAATGTTGATCTGACGGAATTCCAGACCAATTTGGTACCCTACCCGAGAATCCATTTTCCTCTGGTCACGTACGCGCCTGTCATCTCGGCCGAGAAAGCCTATCATGAGCAGCTGTCTGTTTCGGAGATTACAAATGCGTGTTTCGAGCCAGCTAATCAGATGGTCAAGTGTGATCCGCGTCACGGTAAATATATGGCCTGCTGTATGCTTTATCGCGGTGACGTCGTGCCCAAAGATGTCAACGCGGCCATTGCCACTATTAAGACGAAGCGTACTATTCAATTTGTCGACTGGTGTCCCACCGGTTTCAAGGTCGGCATCAATTATCAACCGCCGACTGTTGTTCCGGGCGGTGATCTTGCAAAAGTCCAGCGCGCCGTCTGCATGCTGTCGAACACTACTGCTATTGCGGAAGCTTGGGCTCGTCTTGACCACAAGTTTGATTTGATGTATGCCAAGCGTGCATTCGTTCACTGGTACGTCGGCGAAGGTATGGAAGAAGGAGAGTTCTCTGAAGCGCGTGAGGATCTCGCAGCACTAGAGAAGGATTACGAAGAAGTTGGAATGGATTCGGCGGAAGGCGAGGGTGAAGAAGGCGCTGAGGAATACTAAGACGCGAATACTATTTGTCTGCTTGTGTTACAGCTTTGTCTAAGATGTCTCCATGCATTTTGAAATAGAATAATCCATTTGCAAAGCTAGCTTACCACTGATTGATATACCTATACTTTTGTCAAATAAAAATTTAAATAAATTATTAAATTATTGCAAACGTATAATCTGCATATTTATAAATGTTCACTTCCATTAAGAATATTCTGTACACAATATATAAAAATATTTTCAAAAGTTTATTTTGATTAATATATTTTATTTTAAATTGTGATATATCGAATTAATATATTTTATTTAAATTATGGTTATAATTAAAGGTGAAATCTAAAAAGTAATATTAAGATTTTCTTAGTTACTGATTTTTTTAATAGGTATATATTAAAAGATTTAGATTTAATAGAGTAAAAAATATGAAGTTATATTGATATAAATATTAATGAGATGTATTATTGAGATGAATTAATTGGTATAAGAAAGAAGATTAGAAAAGAATTAGAATTATATATAAAGAAATGTAAATTTTTATTTTATAAAGAATGACAATGGGGCAAGATAAAAAATAATAAAATTGGAAAATTAAAGATGTAATATTAAGGGAAAAAATTAGATGAAAATTAAAAAAATAAAATTATATAAATTAATAATAAAATATCAATCAAAATAAATTTTTAAAAGTAGCTTTATATATTTTCGAATACTTTATTTAATTTTACTTTTTTCTAATTGAATACATAAAGAAAAATTTAAAAAGAATCAATACGATTATATTTGTATCACAACTCGTCAACGTATCATTTGTATCATTTCTTTCTATAAAATATTAAAGCCTGTTCTTAGTTTAAAAAATATAAAAATACTAACGATTATAATTAAAAAATAATTTGTATTTTGCAATATTTAGTTTTACAATAGCAATCTTGAGATAATTAAATTAACTAAAATTTGTTACAATGCAGTTTGCGCAAAATATCTAATTAATTATAACGACAAAACTGAAAAGAAAATATTCCAATATCTATGAGATATATTTCATAAATATATGGATCACATATTTACAAAATTTAATGAAATTGATTCAATCGTCCAGCTCCAAGATGAAATCTTCATCGTAAATATATTCTTCATCTTCAGAATAATAATCTAAATATTCGGCGTGAAAATCGAAATCATCATCATCGTCTGGTTCATCAGGTATTACACCGCGATACAACATATTGAAACATTTGGAGTCTGGATTTCGAAAATGTATATAGGGTGTTTCGGGATTAAGCCGCGTACCGCATAACCAACAGAAATATGTGCCGCAATTCGAACAGGTCATCTTATTACAGCCATCTGATTTCTGTAACAATATACAAAGATGTATAATTGATTGCAACAAATTTTTTCGTAAATCGAATTTAATACCTCGATCGCAGTTTTGCAGTGAGGACAATTATGACTATTGTCATTAATCCAATTTTCAGACATAGTATTCTCTATCATTGTTTGAAGTTGTCTTTTGCCATAACGTTTTTCCATTTCTGCCTTTTTTTCATTACTGGCTGATTGATACTCACTGAGTAATCGTTGTTTTTCAGCTATTATTAACGAATCATAAAATTACTGAATTATAAAATTAATATAATATATTCTCTAATGTACAAGTTTTTTGAAACTAAGCGATATAAAAACGAATAATATGGATATTTTGTATATTATACAATACAATTATTTTAAGTAAGATTATATGCATACCTGAACTAATCTTGCAGGGTTCTACTCCATGATAAACCATCTTGCAACGAACACAAAATGCATATTGACAAACGGGACATTTTGCCATGTGATCATCGGGATCGCAAGTGACTGGATATTGACAGTGTCGTCTTGGACAGTAAATTATGTCCGTCATAGTGTCTAATGTAGTACTTAACAATAGAGAATCATACTTTGAGAATAACTCTGAGCTTACTAAGTCTTTTATCTACAATAGATGCAATCAATGTTTTATGACAGAATTTCAATATTAAGCAACAAAAATATATAAAGAAAAATAGTTACCTGATTAGGCGTAGCCTCAAATTTACACTTTTCTTCAGGACAACAGATATTCTGTACACTTCCTTCCTTAATCTTTACTTCAAAGTAACTTTTAATGCAATCTTTACAAAAAGTATGAGTACAAGGCAAAAACTGGGTACAATGCTCTCCCAACTTGTCAGTAAAACAGATGTTACATGTATAAAAATTCTTTTTAAATTCAATTTGTTTCCATTTTTCATTGTAATCGATCAATACTTGAATAGGATTTTTACCGATGGGACAATCTAAAATGGCTCTCTTATCAATGACATTGGTCTTCTTTGATATATTTTCCCTATTCTCTTTGTTGACTCCACTGTTGCATTGTTTGTTACATTGTTCGTCTATTTCTTTATTTATTTGTAAATTCTGTAATTTTTCCAATGTCTTTTTGTAAGATGTATACATATAATCCATATTTAGATGATCTTTTATTTTCAAAAATTTGAGTGTTTCATTTTGAAGGAACTCCATCCATGTAAATAAAATTTCCTGTTTGCTATACTCCCATAATAAATCGAGCTTTTTGCATAGCTTAGATAGTACTATTGGGCGCAACCAAGAGGAACATAATGTAAACATTGGAGCAGATGCAGATGGATAATCCTCCAGCAATGTAATGTGTAATGTTAAGGGTGGCAAATATGATATCTGTACTTCTTGTTTAGATTCTGTCTCATGTCTCAAATCCTTGTATGTTAAATGATATTTTGCTGGAAGGTTTACAAAAATTTTAAAAGTACAATCAAACCGGCTGTTTTCCTCATGATATGAAAATTCTTCTTCATTATAGATACTTTCCAATGCAGTAATTTCATCTTTTTGTTTCTCGTAATCCATTGACTGTAAGTTGAAACTGATATATTATATTATGATTATATATTTCTTACTTGATCCAATAGTAAAAAAGAAAAATGCATGCTTTTTTCACTTACCAACGATAAAAGTTAAACGTTTATTTTATTAAGTATAAGTCTTTCAATTGTGGCACTTTTTGTGATTTAATTATGACAAATGATACATGCTGTTAATGATATTTTAAGAAGGTTATGCGCTCATCGGTCTTTGGATAATTTGAATTTGCTGAACTTTCGCGAATTAGTTACAGATAATTAAACTATTTAATTTTAATAATTGTGCAGAAAATGCCATTAAAAATGAGAAAATGACATCGAGTAATATTTTATGAATAAATAGCTAAAATTCGTGCATATATTTAAAGATCAATTAAACTGATTCCACGCTCCGAACTGATACACTGCACTGAACCACAGTATATACATTAGAGGTTTGTTCTTTCCAGCTGAACTTTCTGTATTAGTTCATAAAGTGTACACTGAGGCGTTCTTTTTAGCAGAAGTGACGTCAAAGATGACTGTTCTTTCCAATAGTGCAAACAGAACTGAGTACAGCAGTTCACTGAACTGCCTGCCCCAGGTCTTGAGTTAGTGCAGTTCAATATGGCAGCTTAGGTAAAACGAGAATAACAGTTTAACCTAAAATTAAAAATTATATTATCTTTATATTTACTTTTTTAAGTTATGTTAATACTTAAGATTTTTCACTCTATATTCGTCTTTTACTATTATTTTTGCGCATATAAAAATATTATTGATCAATATTTTTACATATACTTGTATATATATATATATATATATATATATATATATATATATATATATATAAAATTGTTAGTAATCTAAGGGTGCTTTCCAGCTATGGTAACACAGTGATACACTGTGTGACACAGTGTTACACAGTGTCGACTTGTAGCTGGAACGCTTTTTAGCTTTCTTATTTTGCCACTAGAGTGCAGGGCAGTCACTTTTAATAGTTGTCACTAGGTCTAAATTTTCAGAACGTTCCCACACAACATTATGTCGTCTTAAAGACGTCTAGATGTCTTTAAGTCGTCTTTTTAGCGAATATAAAAGTTTGGTTATCTTCTATCACGCAATACCATTCTTAAAAAAATTAATGATACCAAATATGAAATGTTATGTTGGCACTCACTGGGGTGCTACAAAACGACGACACAGGCGAACACAGCATTTTTGCTGTGTACGATTGTGTCGACTTGTGTCGTAGTTGGAAAGCACTTGTATCGACACTGTAGCGACACAGTGTCGCCTGTGTTGCTTGCTGGAAAGCACCCTAATAGAAGTATAAAATACTGTGATAAATAATATTTTTTATATACGCAATAACAATAGCGACAGATAAACATATATAGTAAAAAATCTTAATTATTAACATAACTAAAAAAAAGTAAATATAAAGAGAATATATGGTATATATGTTTTTTTAGCTTTTTGAATTTATATTTTTAATTTATATTAATTATATTAATTATATTAGAACTTTAGTCGTATAAAAAAAAGTTTTATCGATATGGAGAAAAGAAGTGTCGCATATATTACAAGAGATGCAGCTGGAAATATTTTAATTGATAAAGATGGAAATATTAGTTGTAAATTGGAAGGTATTAAAATTGGGAGCGTCCCGTTTGACCACGTTGCGATTGACCACAGCCAATTATATCGATCTGTGCCTAGGGTAACTAGAGCACTAAATATACAGGTATTCTATACTCCGCCATTTTTAATCCATTCCCCCTCCTTGTTTCTCGTGTCACTCGCCTCGTCGCTAAGCTGAGATTATAGTAGATAGGTTAGTGAGATTATATGGGGTGGGGAGATGGATTAAAAATGGCGGAGTATAGAATACTCATATATTTAGTGCCTTAGGGTAACCAGCAACGATTAACCAATCAGAGAATCCTATTTTGAATTGGCCAATTGGCGACGTGGTCAATCAGGTGCCACCCTTAAAATTATGTATCTAAATATTAATCAATATCCGGAATCATATGTTGCGCCATGTTGATTTCTACACTCTGTAGCGTTCTTTTCGTTTCTATCTACATTTCCGCAATGAAATTTTTACTGTATTCGTCAGTTCTAGTTCAGAATTAGTGCAGAACTAGTGCAGCTGAAAAGAACAAACCTTAAAGCGGCCTTTTCATTGACGCTAGAAATTAGCGGCAAATTAAAATCACTAGACTTTTTCTAGATTCAACGTCAATAAAATAAAGTTCAGACAGTTTCAACTTTTTCAGCGTGTCGCAAAATTCAAGTGTAGTAATGTGTTATTGTGGGTCTGTTCTTTTTAGCTGCACTGTTACACTAGTGCAATTAGTTAGAGTGAAAGAAAGTATGTTTGTCTCGCATATTTTGCCGCCACTTCTCCCTCCATTAAGGCAAGCGGCAAATTTAGTCACTAGATCCCCATTTGCCGCTGGTTTCTAGCGTCAATGAAAAGGCCGCTTAAAGCGGCCTTTAAAGGTGCCTTTACATGGGAGCGTTTTAGCGTCGAGCGTTAAAGCGTCAAAAAGTGTGACATGCGCAGTGTGCCTAGTGATTTGTTGAAACGCTGGAGCAGTCAGTAAATCATCTAAATTGCGGAATATTATCAAATATTATCATTATTATCAATATTATCAATATTATCATTATTATCAAATATTATCAATAAAATGTCAGTTAATTATCGTTATCATCAATGATTATTAGAATGCAGCAGCATTATTAATTATGAATATAAAGGTGCGGCCTTATTGACGCTAAAAAGTAGCGTCAATCATTGGTTGAACAAGGAGGTAAGTATAGTTGCTTCATTGTTCAACCAATGGTTGACGCTACTTTTTAGCGTCAATGAGGCCGCATCTTAAGAAACAAAAAAAAGTTACGTGCACACTCCACACGTTATATCCTATACAAAGAATACATTGTAATAAATAATATTCATGTTGTATTTAGAAAACATATATTTATGCCAATTATTCCTTCTGTTTGGTTATGTTGTAATACGCTACTAATCGCGCAATTCTATAATATATATTGTATAATGATATCTATTATATCTATTATATCTATTATATTTATTATATATTATATATATTAATACATTTTCTATTAAGAATATACAATCTACTTACCTCTACCGTATTTATTAAAATTTTGTTACTAGACATTGTTTTAGCGGTTTTAGCCGTCAAGATGCTGGAATCTGCCTGTTCAGAATTATGCGCAAGGGTGCTGCGCACGTGTTTTTGACGCTCGACGCTTGACGCTAAACGCTTCCATCTAAAGACGCCTTAAGACATCTTTAGATGAAAGGGTTTAGCGTCAAGCGTCGAGCGTCAAAAACAAGTGCGCAGTACCCTTGCGCATAATTCTAAACAGGCAAATTCCAGCATCTTGACGCTAATACAATGTCTAGTAATAAAAATTTAATAGATACCGTAGAGATAAGTAGATTGTATATTCTTCATAGAAAATGTATTAATATATATAATATATAATAGATATTATTATACAATATAAAAAATAGATATTATTATACAATATACAGGGTGACCCATTTTAACTTAGGCAGCCAAATAACTCGAAAAATAAGCACACTACGAAAAAATGGTTAAAATCAAAATTTCGTCATTTCGAGGGGGACGTACAATGACGTTAAAATCAGCCCCTCCACCCCTCCCCCTGGGCGGTGAGGGGGGGCAAGTTTGAAATCTTAAATGGAACCCCCTATTTTTCATTGCATATTCTTGTAGCTTATCTCGAGAGTTTTCCAAAACACTATAATTAAGTACCTTTTTATTAAGTACTTTTTGAGTTATAAGGCTTGAAATAATTTCTTAATTTTACATAAACCATAAAATATCTAGTAAACCATTCATTTTTCGATTATCTTACCTTCATACTTTTATGTACAAAATAATGAGAGGAATCAATTGGTGTAAAGAAAACACATAGTTGTTTCTAAGAAAAAATATGTAATTTGCAATTAACAATTCCATATTTTTTCTTAAAAACAACTGTATGTTTTCTTTACACCAATTGATTCCTCTCATTATTTTGTACATAAAAGTAATTATTTTCATCAAAAGTAATATCATTTTAATCGTAAAAATCTCAATAATTCATTAAAATTACTTTCGTATCGATAAAATAAAAAATAGGAGTTTCAGTTTACAGTTTATTATCTCGTAAATTGCGAATGGATAGAGAAAGTGAAGAAGCCGATTGTAAGAGACTTCGGAATTCTTTGATGATAGGTCATCTCGCTCGCTCTCGCTATCGCTCTCGCACTTGATAGGTCGTAAAGATAAGCGGACTCGGCTTCCTCGCGAATGTAAACATCTTATAAAATAAAAACTGAAACGCCTATTTTTTATTTTATCTATTTGAAAGTAATTTTAATGAATTATTGAGATTCTTGCGATTAAAATGATATCAAACACGACATAAATCGAATAATTTTTAATTGGTCTGATAATAAAAATTTTGATTATATACATTTAACTACATTTATCCGATTGATACCGCGTTTGATGTTGTTTTAAAATTTGTCGTCATTGTCGCAAAATTTTCATTGTTCCATTACAATTACTCGCATACCCTTATAAATATATCTTAAAATGATTAATTTATTTATTTCTCACAATTTGTCATCGGTCGCTTGCCAACGGCAAGCTTGATAACGAGATGAATATGACAGTATATGAGTACGTAAGAGCGAGTGAAACAATAACAGAAGCGAGCGAGAGAGAAATAGTATGCCAGACTGCAAGAAAGACTCGATTTTCGAGTCTTCGTTGCTTGTTCTATTCCTATCTCGCTCACTCTTATTGCCATTTCGCTCCCTCTTATTACCTTCTCGCTTGTTCACATACTCCCGCGTACACTATATGTATATATATATATATATATATATATATATGCATGCATAAACACATGCATGTAAAAACAGATCACGCGCTGTTAATAATATGTAATAAAAATTAATAAATGTATGATATGTTTCGTACTTTTGATATCCACAATTATGGATCTAGCACGGACATGAACCAATCGGTCGTTTTACCGTGCCAGCGAAAAGTGGATCCAGCCACGTAGTACCGCCGGCCGTAAAATGGATCCAGTTAGCGCCACTTTATGGCGGGGAAAAAGCGTTCCCTGAAAAAGGACAGCGTGACCCCTCTCAGTCTTCTCTCTGGCGAAAGCCTTTAATCCTACTGCTATTGTCATTGAAATATATACCATACTGGAACGAGCACGCCTTTGTTCTCGACCGGTCAGATGGAGATAGCTGTTCAGACCCGGATCTCTCTATCTAACCAACAGTCTCGGTCACGTGTTCACAGCTACTATTAGTTCTACAAACATTCGCCTTCATAAAAAGAAAATTTTATGCTTTAAAATGAAATTGTTGGATAATTATAAAATTTATATGTTGAAATTTATTTTTATATTATAAAATTATTTAATAAAAACAATGTATATTGTTTAATAAAAATAGTTAATATATAACATGTATGTATACATATATATTAAATAAAAAAACTTAATACATTTAAACACTTCTATATTTTATTTGTTTAAATATTATAATTTTGTTACATTT